CTGTTATACTTTATTTACAGCATAAATACTCAGACATTGTGGTGGAATGCAGTGTTTGAGAGATATCATTTTTTTGCTGGTTTATCAAATATTTTGGTAAATAAGGTACCAGTTAAAATCAAGTTTGCTGTAATAGATTTATTACTAAGCAAACTTGCCCAAGAAATATTCAAAGATAACTAACCATGCAGATTCTGCATATATATCACTATCCTCTTAAGAAACTAATATAAACTCAATGAAAACTCTGCAGAGTGTTAAGTTTGAAGTACTTAGGTCAAGCAATAGTTAAACAAAATAAGAGAAAATGATAAGTCACAGTTGTCCCAAATGGTGCTCTGATTTCACAGTATTCTAAACACAAGTTGCTGTCACTGAGGTGTCTTAGAACAGTATGGGTGCCTGAATTTTCTTTTTGCTTCAGAGGTGAGCTAAATTTCAAGAAAATCCTCTTCAGGAACTCTACCAATGGTAAAGATGACTTCTGGTGGGTTTTCAGCGCTTTCACTTTGCTGAGAGCTGTTGTAAAGGAAAGAGGAGAGATCAGTGGGCTATTACTTCTCAGGCAGGTCTTATTCTCTCTGACTGAGTCCAAAAATGTAGATGTCTTTTTCCATCTTCGAGTTGAGCCATGCAAGTACACTGAATGTTTCCTTAACTGAAACTTCATCCAGGTTTCCTGATTTTTGCAGTGCACCAGTGCTGTTCCTTACCTGAACAAAGTGTCCTTTGTTTAAAAGTTCGGAATGTACATGTATGGTCCACATAATCTTTTTAAGCAATTTAGTATTCTGATTGCTTCTATTCCTAACAATACATAACAGTATGTATTGGCTATAATGATACTACTGTAAGAGTAACTGTTAATTTATACTGATATTTGAATACAATCAGCTAAACCAATGTAAAAATGGGGAATTTTAACTGTAAGTTGTGCCAAGCGTATAAATTCTACAGATTTTAGTGCAGGTTTGAAACATTGCGCTGGAGGTTGGTCCAGCCTACAAAATTAGCTGTGCCTGCAGGTAAAAACAATAAGCATAAGTTTCTGACAATTGCACCAATGCATGACAGATTGAGAAGACTGTGTGTTTAAATTAAGCTTGTTTGTAGACATATGGGAAGAAATCGGATTGTTGGAAGTTTTAAATTTGTTAATTTACTGACACTGTGTACAGTGAAATTTGTTCAATATATTGTAGACATTTTCAGTGTTTTTTTTAAGATTGGGTTGCAATGAGATGGGGGACAAAACTTTTTAAAAGTGCTTTTTTTGTGATTTCTGGTTTGGTAATAAAACTATGCCTGACTATTGCCCTTTTAAATCACTTTTTCATACAAATAAACTGTGTTCTATTAACTGTTCTATTGCACTAGTTTAGGCAGCATTTCATACTTCATTATGTAAACAAATTTGGCAGAACTGGCCATTGAGTGTAATTTGCAAAGTGGAAGCTGTATCCTCATTAGTTCAAACAGCTGTAGAGCAGCAAAGAACTGTAGTAAATGTTGTACACAAATGGCTTCAACTGTAGTGTTTGTTAGAGAAACTAGTGTCCAGAATATGCCTTGTGTATTGCATTTGATTCTGGTCTTTAACTCAAGAGTAACATTCAAACGATAGTGCAGTGCAGAGAAAGACTACAAGATTGATCTGTACTGACTGCTGGCAGGAAGATTGCAGAAATTTTTTCACTTTATGCCCTGGGGAGAAGGAAACAAGATCATTAGAATTACAGATTTGATCATTCAAGAATACTGCTTGGAAATTAGGAGAATTTACAATGGTTCAAGCTATGGAAAGGTACATTTATCACTGATTTCATGAGAATTCTTCAGCTGGTGATCAGTGTTGTTGACAGATTTCCAAATAAAGCCCAATTCTTCTGAACTTCTAACCAAATGGCTGCTACCTTGGATGAACTGTCAGAGGTCTGTGGATCAATTAAGGTGAAGCACACTGCAATCTTGAGCTATAATTATCTCAGGAACAAAAACAGAAGTTGCTGGAAAAGCTCAGCAGGTCTGGCAGCATCTGTGAAGAAAAATCAGTTAACGTTTCAGGGTCCGGTGACAATTGTAAATACATTAATTTGTTTAGAAAAATCTGGAGTACATTAAAAGATTGCAATAATCTTCTGAACATCACTTAAAATCAAGTTGGTTTTCAAATCTACTATATTTTTCAGAAAACTAAACCAATAGAGTTTATAGCGTTCTGAGGAAGGGTCACCGAACCGAAATGTGAAGTCCGATTTTTTTCTTCACAGATGCTGCCAGACCTGCTGAGCTTTTTCTAGCAACTTCTGTTTTTGTTCCTGATTTACAGCATCTGCAGTTCTTTCGGTTATAATTATCTCAAGTTTGAGAGTGAGATATTGCTTATGGTCTTGTTCAGAATTTCAAGTAAATATGACCTGCATGGTTCAGAATAACTCCTTAAAAGGTTCCTTATAAATTTTTGCAGTCTTTAACTTTGTTTGTTTTATTCTGCAGACTCCCGTAAAAGAACCTGACAGGGAAAATGTAGATATCAGCACTGCAGGTGGTGGAACAGGACTGAAGAAATGCTGTAGCTGAGCGCTCTGTGAAAATCCACTTTATGCATTCTATCTAAAATGTTCTTTCCTATTAAAACAAACAAAATTCTCATTACCCTTACTTCTTACATCTTGCCTGCTTGACACACACAATTTTGAAAACCTGTATAAAATCATGTCTGTGACTTATTGTCTCATTTTAAATGTGCGTGCTCAACTCACTACATTTGGTTGTATTATAGTTAAAATTCATTATCAAAGTAACAATGGTTTCAACTCAGCAAATTGTATAAGAATAAAAGTTAGAATTAACAAATTTTTGTACAACAGTGGAATTTTCTCTTGTGTATAATGTACTTCTTAATTTGTACATTTGTGCAAAAAGTGAGATATGAGACACCCGTGTAGACTGCTTTCCTTTATAGGTTGGATTAATTTTGTCTTGTGCCTTATTTGAAAACAGGCGTAACTGAACGACTGCAGAGGCAGAAGACCATTTTTCAGACTTGGCTGTTTTAATATCCACTTGCTGTGATATTAATGCATTATAGGTGCCAGTGTCTGAACACAATTTTTTTTGTGGTAAACTCCAGTATTTCTTGGTCAATATTTGCGGGTTATGCAGACTTGGTTTTTATGCTGTTGAGGAGAAAATTGGAAATTTATTAATGCATGTAATAGTGCTACTTTTTTTTTTATTTAGGGTGACGTGGTTCTAATTTCTTTAAATGTGCAATTTTCCATTATTTGGGCCACCAACAAAAATTCTGCGGGATAACTATCTTTCAGTTAATTTCAGAAAGATAGTAGACTGTATCCCTGAAGAGTTAGCAGTTCTGCAACCTGAAACATTTTCTTTTGTCTGCTGCCAATATTGGCATAACGCAGTAGGTATCTTGTGATTGGCCTATTGGTAATCAGTGTTTTCTCAGCCACTGACAATTAAGTTTTCTTAAGCTTTGCTATGTGCAGTTTCCAAATAGCCAAATGTGTTTTCTTGTCATTTCATTGCAATTTTTTTTTTTGTCACTTTCTTTCTCTACCCTTCAGTTAATGGTTTCTGCTTAAACTTTCTTGGGAGTTTTGTAAGCAGTATGGTTTTAACATTTTTGAAAGGCTGCTTCCCATTTGAAATAGATGAGAAACTTAAATGTGTATATGTTGGGATTACTGGTTATGCAGTGTCAATTGGACATGAAAAGCATGTTTCGGGCAGTGTATGAGCAGCCTTTTCTGGATTGGTCAGTGCTTTTCAAATTGATGAACCAATTTTTAAACCTTTGACAATACTGCAATAGTTATGTTCCTAATATATTGACCACAGTCCTCTTGTATTGTAAATTGCTTTCACCCTAATTTTTTATCCCACGCTGAACATAAGGGAAAATACAAAGTAACCAATGTAATCAGTTCTTTGTTTACGCTGATGGGCTGTTGCCTAATATAGTGGTGCTTAGCCTTTATGTACAGTTCTTTGGGATCATTTGTAAACCTTGTGATGACCAACACAGAATTGAATAAATCTCATTAGCAGTCCATTCCTGCACGGGAGACTGTAGTTTAATACTTCTAATTACTAAAATTGTCAATAAAATATTTCTAGATGTTTACTGTTATGTTACTGAATCTTGAGAAAGTAGAGTATTGTTGGCTTGTATATTTACCCATATTATGCTGGTAAATCAAAAAATACTAAATGCGATGAATTAAAGTCATTTGAAATTGGAATATTGAAATTGCTAATTTAACTTGAGGAAATATTAAACTGCTTGAAATAGATTTAGAAGCTATATATATGTATGATTTGAGTTGCTGTTAAGTACCACTTTACATCCAGTATTTGTGTTTTAAACATTCTGTAATTTTACTTTTAATCCACGTGTAGGTAGTTGAAATTAAACTTGCAATTTTTTGAGTCCATTTATTATTTTGGGACTGTCCAACTCGCCCTCCATTGATTATGATCCAATTAAATTATGGTTTGGAGAAATCATTAGCCACATCAATTTGTACCTAACCATGTCAGTATAAAGTTTGTAATTTGCAAAGTGCAAAATGATTTCTGATTTAATTTGCCTTGTCATTTGTACCACTGGCTAAATTTGAGTTCTGGCATATATAGGTGACCAGAATTTAAAAATATTGCCACTCAGCCTAAAATATGCTGAGTGTTGCACTTGATGTTTGGGCTAATGGTTGCTACAAGATGATAAAATTATGGCAGAATGTTTCATTTTTCATGATATTCCTGTGTTTGTTTTATTTATTTGTAAGCTTTTTAAACTCGAGTGACACTTATTTTGTGAAACGATAAGTCACTAACTCAGAAAAATAGATTCTGTGTTGACTCTTTAGTTAAATATAATATTGGATTAGTTTATGTTGCAGATGTTTGCTAAGGGAATTGTAATAGGGAGAGACAGCAATAACTGAGTGCTTTCATGTATTTTGCAGAGGGAATGGTGTTTTTCTGTCTTTTTTTCTGTTGAGTTACAGTTCTTTGGAGAGAAGTCAAGTCCTCTGAGTCCCTCACTCAAGTGGTTATTCAGTCATGAGATTAGACCATAACCAGTAGACTTTGCGATTACCTCACTTGACTTTATCTGCTGGTATTGCAAATATCCAGTTGTACCAAAACCAGGAGTGGAGTCTAATTTCTTCCCTTCTAATTTTGGGATGCTAAGTCCAGTTAGAGAATATGTGAATACAGCATTATGCAGGATTTGTAGCACCAAAACACAGGTCAGTGAATCTAACCAGCCCATGCACTCCATTAATGCTGCACTCGAATCACTTCTTAATTGTCCTGATCTAAATCTATCACTGTCTCTCACTCTCTCACACACACACACACGCTTGTCTAGCTTTCCATTAAATGTATCTATTCTTCCTATGCTGTCCACTTCAACCAGTCCCTGTGGTGATGAGTTCCATGATCTCACCACATTTAGATGAGTGGTTACTGATGAATACCCTAATGAACAAAAAACAAATTGCTGGATTTCAGCAGGTCTGGCAGCATCTGTGGAAAGAAATCAGAGTTAACATTACAGGTGCTGTGACCTTTCTTCAGAGCACAATTTTTCAAAATTCCCTATTGAATTGGTGACTATCTTCTATTGATTATGGTTTTCTACATAAAATGAAACATTGTGTCTGTTCTGTCAATACTTTGCGTAATTTTAATGACCTGCATTAGGTCACCTCCAGTCTTTTTATTGAGAAGGGACCCAGCTTGTGTATCTGCAAACATTTCTGGTATCATCCTTGTCAATCCTCTGTGCACCCTCTCCAGTGCCTCTATCATTTTGTATTATAGCGATCAGAAGAACTGCATCCAATACTATGGTCTAACTAAGGTTCTTTGCTTGTTTTACGTCAAACGTTGATAGAAGCCTGATTTAGGTCCCACATGTGATTAGTTGTGTGAGTGAAGGTTTTGTGCAATTAGAGCTTCTAGAGTATTTTTGGACATGCACTCATCCAAGCAAGTGGAAAGTATTACATTATGCTCCTAGCATATGCCTAGTAGATGGTCGTCAGGCTTTGCAGAGTCAAAATGCAAATTAGCACAGAATTCTCAGCATCTAGAATTCTGTAATTGGTCCAACCCAGTTCCTGGTCAGTGGTTAGCTCCAGAATGTTCATTCTTATTCTTTCTCAGGATTTGGGTGTTAAAGGCAAGGCCAGTATTTGTTGCCAATCCCAAATTGCTTTTGAACTGAGAGGTTTGCAAGGCCGTCTGAGAGCATGATTAAGAGTCGACCATATTGCTATAGGTCTGGAGTCATGTAGACCAAACCAGGTAAGGATGGCAGATTGCCCTCCTTAAAGGACATGAGTGAACCACATGGATTTTTTTTTATGTAAGTTGAGAATGGTCACCACTGGACTAGCTTTTCATTCAAGGTTTATTAATTTATGCCCAACCAACTGATGTCGTGGATGTGAACTCATGTCCTGCAAAGCATTAGTGTAGGCCTCTGGATAACTTGTTCAGTTCCCCATTCCCACAACCTCACTGTCTGCTTCAGTAGATTCAACAATGGTGATGGATACTTCTAATCCATAGTTTTAGATCTGTCACAACAGATCTTTGAAACAAGTACAACTTGAGTGTGAATCTCCTGGATTAGAGGTAGGCACATGTCCACTTCACCTTGAGCATCTAAGCTTTAAATTCTCCTGTGCAGGGCACAGTGGATTAGCATGTACTCTGTCTGCTACCAGGTCTTCTCAATGATGCTAATATTATCGAATTTCAAGTGGACATTACTTGCCGCTTGCATTCTTCAACTTTTGCTACATTTGGGTATAAACTCATTGTGAAGGTTTGCGAAGGGTACTGAATATTGTGCAATCATCTGCAAGCTTACCCACTTCTGAATGTATGATTTGGGGAAGGGCATTAATTAAGCCGTTGAAAATTGTGCAGCCTAGGGCACTGCCAAGAGAAACTTCTGTTGCAGTGTCATGGAGTTGAGTTGATTAGATTCCAGTAACAACAACCAATTTTGTGCTGGTAGGAGTTCAAACAGTGCAGAGCTTGCCCCCATTTCCCATTTAATATTTTACATCAGTTCACTTGCTGGCTAGTCATGCCCGGTCTCCCTTCAGATCTGGAATTGGGACTTTTTAATCCATGTTCTGACCAGGGCTGTAAAGAAAGCTGAAGCTGAGACTGCTGAGCAGAATGCAAACTGAGCACCACTGAGCAGTTTATTGCAGAGAAAGTATTAACTCTGCACTGTTGACAACACTTTTTCTATTGCTTTGCTGATAATTCAGAGTTGACTGATGGGGTGATAATTGGATCTGACTTGCTTTTTAAGTCAAACTGGGCAATTTTTCATCTTGTCAGGTGGATGTCAATATTGTATTTGTTCCAGTACAGTTTGGTTTTGGAGGATGCAACTTGTTCTAGAACACACATTGGGGCTGTTTTGGAGCAGTGATAGTATCCCGACCTCTGTCAGGAGGTCTGGGTTTAAATCCCACTTGCTCCAGATGTGTCAAAGCATCTCTGAACAATTTGTTCAGGAAATATCTAGAACACAAATATTTACCACAACATGGGGATGCTGTTGTGGCCTTTAGCTTTTGTTATATTCAATAATTCAGCTATTCTTCATCCATGTAATGTGAACCTAGCATCTGAGCTTTGTTTAAATACAAAGGTAACTTCTGTACCATTTTGCCTTGCACTGACCTTGCCTGTATTGCCTATCTTTTCTATCATTCAGCTTGTGATCTAGCTATTGGGAAGACCATTCAAATATTTAATCCTGCAGAACACATGATTGGGATTGGGTAGGGTGACAATGGGGAAAGAGCTGTGTGAAATCAATACATTAAGTGCCACACATCTCAGAACATAAAATTGCTGTCAAATAACCAGAAATCTTGAATAATTTTATTCAAGCATTATATCTTTTTACGATAGAGTGTGGAGGGGTGAATACGTTTCTCGTTTTCACTCCCGAGGTTAGTATAACAGAGTACACGTTTTAAAAATTCAAACTCTGTCTTCTACAACATCCAACCCCCACCCATCAAGTTCAATATCATCTTGACACTGGACAGATATGAAGAAATAAGCCAGCCAGATATGAAGTTATGCACTAGTAATTATTTACCAAAATTCACTGGACTCTGGGGTGGTTCCCGCAGATTGGCTGTTTTCCAATGTGACACCACTGTTTAAAAAAGGAAGTAGACAAAAAGCAGGCAACTATAGGCCAGTTAGCTTAACTTCGGTAGTGGGGAAAATGCTTGAATCTATCATTAAGGAAGAAATAGCAAGACATCTGGATGTAAATTGTCCCATTGGGAACACCCAGCATGGGTTCATGAAGGGTAGGTCGTGTTTAACTAATTTGGTGGAATTCTTTGAGGACATTACTTGCATGGTGGACAATGGGGAACCAGATGGTGTATCTGGATTTCCAGAAAGCATTTGACAAGGTGCCACACCAAAGGCTGCCACATAAGATAAAGTTCAACGGTATTACAGGTAATGTATTGGCATGGATAGAGGATTGGTTGACCAGTAGAAAGCAAAGAGTAGGGGTAAATGGGTGTTTTTCTGGTTGGGGGTCAGTGGCTAGTGGTGTGCCTCAGGGATCAGTGTTGGGACCTCAATTGTTTACAATTTACATAGATGATTTGGAGTTGGGGACTAAGTGTGGTGTGTCAAAATTTGCAGATGACACTAAGGTGAGTGGTAGATGAAAGTGTGCAGGAGACACAAAGTCTGCAGAGGGATATAGATAGTCTAAGTGAGTGGGCAAAGGTCTGGCAGATGGAGTACAATGTTGGTAAGTGGTCATCCATTTTGGTAGGAATATCAGCAAAATGGACTATGTTTCAAATGGTAAAAAATTGCAGCACGCTGCTGTGCAAAGGGACTTGGGTGTCCTTGTGCATGAATCGCTGAAGGTGGGATTGCAGGTGCAGCAGGTGATTATAAAGGCAAATGGAATGTTGTCTGCCATTGCTGGAGGGATGGAGTTTAAAAACAGGGAGGCTATGCTGCAGCTGTATAAGTCCCGGTGAGGCCACACCTGGAGTACTGTGTGCAGTTTTAGTCTCCTTACTTGAGAAGGGATATACTAGCACTGGAGGGGGTGCAGAGGAGATTCACTCGGTTGATTCCAGGGTTGGATTATGAGGAGAGACTGAGTAGACAGGGCTTATACTCATTGGAATTCAGAAGAATGAGGGGAGATCTTATAGAAACATATAAGATTATGAAGGGAATAGATAAAGTGGAGGCAGGGAGGTTGTTTCCGCTAGCAGGTGAAACCAGGACTAGAGGGCATCACCTCAAAATAAAGGGAAGCAGATGTAGGACTGAGGTCAGGAGGAACTTCTTCACCCAAAGGGTTGTGAATCTGTGGAATTCCCTGCCCTGTG